AGCGGTGAGCAGAAATAATGACAATTTGGCGCGTGAAACGCACACGAGCAGAATTAACAACAACAACCTCGACACATTCGTCGATAACACCGTGGCATTCGTATAAAAAATATTGACACGTGACATTTCAGACAATGGCTCATTCTTCACGTCACAGCACAGTCAGGTTTTTATTTCCCTTGTCGTTTGCACCTGAGGTGGAATAATATTACGGAGGTTCCAATTCCTTGGCCAATAAAACAGTGAATCACGCCATAACCATTTGCACTGAGTGGGGTCATAAAGATTTTAACTCTCATTTGCCCTATAAATAAATTGGCACTTCTCAAGCTTTGATACCTTGACACCACATTGTTGTGAGTCTTCAAAATGTATGAAAAATGTGCTCAACGTTTAAAAGGAATAGATAGTGGCCGATTGTGCATTTCCATTTTCATCAAAGTTGGATGAAATCCAATGCTGAGCTCATCTATGTGCGGCACGTGTCTGCGCGTGATCAACAGATGAAAGCACAGGAGTGTGATGAGTTACAGAGCTGTGGCGAGATGTTAACTACCTCGCCTGGTGTGCAGGAGGTCGTCGGTTCGATTCCGAGCCTGACGCCTGCTGCTATATGTGGAGTTTGCGTGTCTCTCATAATCATCATCACGGTGGCTAGGATATGTTAACTACCTCGCCTGGTGTACAGGAGTTCGTAGGTTCGATCCCGACCCGGACGCCTGCTGCTGTATGTGGAGTTTGCGTGTCTCTCATCATCATCATCACAGTGGCTAGGAGATGTTAACTACCTCGCCTGGTTTGCAAGGAGGTCGTGGGTTCGACCCCGACCCTGACGCCTGCTGCTGTACATTTGGAGTTTGCGGTGTCTCTCATCATCATCACGGTGGCTATGAGATGTTAACTACCTCGCCTGGTTTGCAAGGAGGTCGTTGGTTCCACCCCGACGCCTGCTGCTGTATATTTGGAGTTTTCGGTGTCTCTCTCTCCGTGGCCGCGTGGATGTTTCTCCGGGGTCCTCCGGTTTCCACCCCCCCCCCCCCCTCCACATTTAGAATCCCGAATCACGCGTTTAGAGCATTTGGCTGCTATGCGTGTCCACGTTCATGAGCCACTTCGTTGAGCTATAATTTGTGATAGCCAGGTAGCTTCTGACAAAGAGCTTACATGGCTCAGTGGGCCTTGCCTGGTAATATAATTTAAAAAAGGTGGCAGCCCCATAGCTTTAGGAAGACTGCAGAGGGGCGAGGGAGGGGGGGCTGCTCCCCCCTCCCCCATGCTGAAGACTCGACCCCCCCCCCCCACCTTCTCGAAGAATTAAGCAATTGTGAGCACAGCTTTTCCTAAGATTTCGCACTTCTTAATTGTAACACGCCGATTCAAGGAAACACGACTTCCCTTATCGTTAACACATTTTTATTTGCCGCCCCGAGGCTCTGAACGCACGCGGCACATGGTGCAATGCACGATTTTTATGAAAAGCGAAAGGCAGGCAAGGACTTCCTCCACGCTCCAACGCGATGGATGGACACACATTCGCGTTATCTGCCCGTGTTGGGGCAATGCACGCTTGGTAGACGGACGAGATTCCTCCCTATGTCAAAATGAATGGCCCGGTTTAAATGTGGCTCTCAGCCAGAATTGGCGATTTTCCTTTGCGTCGCTTTACCAAAACGTGGCTGTGAATTTCACCTGCGTCACGTTCAAGAGGAATACTGTAGTTCCTCGGGTTAACGTTTTTAATACGTTCCACGGACCACGACTGTGAGCCGAAATAGCTGGTCATCGAATTGCCTTACAAGTGGGACAACAATTAAACATCACCGAGTCTGCAAGAGAGCTGATTTTTCCACTGCCAAAAAAAACTAAAAACGTAAAATGTAAACAAATCCCAGTCGAGGTCGAAACCGCTCATAAATGGGCGTCGCTGATTGGCCGAGGGCATGGCTCAGTCCCCCACTTACGAGCGCTCGGGTTGGCCGAAATTGGCGTCCGCGTGCTTAGAACGTAACCACGTGACCGTTTCATCACAATGAACGCGTTCGTCGAAACCGTGCGGGGTCCTACGGGAGGCGATGCGTTAACCGGAAAAGCGTGAACCGATGTCAGCCGTTAATCGAGGCACTGCTGTATCGTCGTCATCGCCAGCAGGCAACAGCTGTCGCATCGCCACAATGTGATGGGTGCAGCGACACCGCTCAACAAGCCCCCGGCTTGTGTGTTTGTGTTGTCGTTTGTCGTATCGAGTGCGACGTTTAGATTTATTCACTTCGCTTTTATGGCGCCTTGACATGCTTATGGTATTTAGATTCTACGTTCAATTATTTACGTTATTGTTAATTTAATTGCAACAGTTTCAATGGAAAAAAACACTTACCATCGTTATCATCATCGTCATCCTCTCCGTCAGCAACGTCAGTAGAATCGGAAACAACCAGGGACATCAACACCATCAGCATATTACATGAACATCGTCATCTACGACATAATTATCTTCATTGCTAACAGCAGTCGCATACAATTGGAGTAGGTTATTGTTTAACGCGGTCGGTGCGTTCCTGAAGAGCGACGCGTTAAGCGAAAAAAAACGCAGAGCCATTGGGGGGGGCAACCCCTCCAGCAATGAAACATGATAGAGGAGTTGTTAGTAAGTAAGGAGTTGTTAGTAAGGAGTTGTTAGTAAGTGGGGAGTTGTTAGTAAGTGAGGACTTGCCCCTTGCTTTTTATTCGACGCGTGTGCGGCGATGGCGCAGCCATCTATCGAGGGTCGAATTCGAACCGCGTCGTGTGATCGGCATCGCGCTCGCTGAAGGTGTTGATGCCTTCAGGGAAGTCGTGTGCTGTGTACACAACTGCGCACAATTCTGAGTCACTTATAACTGCTTTGCCGTTACTTATTGTCAATTATGGACTCAGACTAATGTCCTATCATCTCATAGAGTCCCTGGAACGTAATAATATGCTACACAGTGGCAGTGGGGGTCACAATGCCGATGTATTACTAATAACCCCAATGATCCGATGGAAATTAAGGATTTTGATCGGATCATTGGGGTGGCACGTGCCTCCCCCCACTGGCTCCGTCAGTGAATGTGACGATAAAGTTTGCCGATATATTTTGGCCGGTTTACATTGTACTGCTACGCACACAGTGAGATGGCGGGACTAAGAAGTGAGGAATACGCTGTCGCGTTACCGTATCATTCCGCGTACTGTATCACCGTCCTGCTCAACAAAGTAGTTCGTCGTCGACCGCTCAGAAGCCGCGTTATAGCGGTGCACATTCTGCGTTATAACAGTGCGGGCGTTCCGCGTTGTGTTCAAACGCGTTCCCGAATGGAGGAACCCCGTCGTCGCGAAAGCGCGTTGTAGCGTGAACACGCGTTAAGCGAGGACTCGCCCCATGCGATGCAACTCCGGCCATCCGCGCGCCGTGGTGTCGCAACGCAGCCGCATCTCGTCAAGGGCACTTCCCGCAGTGTCAGCACGAGTGCCACAGCAGCGGCCCAGCTGGAAAGTGTGCCAAGCGCGGTGCCACCCGCACCAGGACCTGGCCTCCCAGTGGTCGCTGCCAGGCTAAGAGGAGAGGTCATGAATTGGCACCCGGGGGGTGGAGGGAGGTGGGCGGAGGGGGGCGGGGGTGCCCCCCCATCTACATGCCCCCCCCCCCATGTAAGTTCCTTACACGAGGGGCACATGCCCAACCACGCTACGCCAGCGGTCGGCAACCTTCCAAAGAAGAAGAGACATTTATTTTTCGTCTTTGACAAAAATAGTTCGAGAGCCGCATCGCACGCAGAGCCCCTTGTACACAAACACAGCAGCAGCAGCAGCAATACAGCAGACGACAAACACGTGATGACTTAAACAAGATAGGTAATGGAATAAACGTGGCTATTTTTCATAACAATACACACTATTCTACATTCTGTTGTTACCAAGCCATTCCATAATGACCCATTCCCTCTGCCATATTTAATCTATTTTGTTTACGTTAAATGATGTTTGAAGATTTAAGGTTTTATTTTTTAAACCGGCTTTTTAACCCAAGGGGGAAAGCCACTGATCCACCGCATGCGTTACGCTGGGTCTGTTGTTCGTGTGCGTCGGCGCAGTTTCAGGTCTCCAGTGGGGAGCGGTGGTGTAGCGGTTAGCGCTACGCTGCGCTACAAATCCCGCGACCCCCAAGTTCGTTTCCACCAACAGCACCAGCGACAATTATCTGAACCGGTTCTGGGCCTCCCCTAGGTCTACTCAGCCTCAAATTACTTACCTGGTGCGGTGTGCAAACATCGCCACTGGGGAGACAAAGGCGGCTGGGCGTGGTTGCTGGCCACCCACCCCCTCGTGTGCCACAATGCCGGCCTTCATAGGTGCTCGATTAAAGCACTTGCCCCAACAGCCTGCTAAGGTTATACGGGGGATTTTTGTATTTTTCTTTGGTGTAGGGTGTGGTGCTGGCCACACCACCCCCTCGTGTGTCGTTCCGGCCTTAATAGGTCCTCGCACAAAGCACTTGCCCCAACAGCCTGCTAAGGTTATACGGTGGATCTTTGTATTTGTTCTTTGGTGTGGGGTGTGGTGCTGGCCACACCACCCCCTCGTGTGCCACAGTGCCGGCCTTCATAGGTGCTACTCGCGAACACAGCTGCTTGCCCCCAACAGCCTGCTAAGGCGACGCGCGGATTTGGTGGTGGCGTTTGTCTCGCGTGGTGTGATGCCTCGCGTGGTGTGATGTCTCGCGTGGAGTGATGCCTCGCGTGGTGTGATGCCTCGCGTGGTGTGATGCCTCGCGTGGTGTGATGTCTCGCGTGGTGTGATGCCTCGCGTGGTGTGATGTCTCGCGTGGAGTGATGCCTCGCGTGGTGTGATGCCTCGCGTGGTGTGATGTCTCGCGTGGTGTGATGTCTCGCGTGGTGTGATGTCTCGCGTGGTGTGATGTCTCGCGTGGTGTGATGTCTCGCGTGGTGTGATGTCTCGCGTGGTGTGATGCCTCCCTGCAGACCACAGCCAGGCCGGGTCGGGAGGTGGTGGCGCGGGTGGCACGCTCGGCACCATGCTGCTGCTCGGCCTGATGAGCGCGCTCTCGTCGCTGCTGCTCGGCATGCTCCTGGGCTGGCTCATAGCCCGCAAGGTTTGTCCGCTCCCCGCCCCCAACACGACGACGACCACGGCCTCCCCTAGGTCGACTCAGCCTCAAACGAGTACCTGGTGCGGTGTGCAAATATCGCCACTCGGGGGACAAAGGCGGCCGCGCGTGGTGTTGGTCGACACATCCTCCTCGTGGGTCGTGTCGGCCTTCGTTGGGTGCTCGCTAACGGCACTCGCCCCAACAGTCTGTTAAGGCGATACGGGGGATCTTTTTTGTGAGTGTAGATCGCGAGTTGAAGCTCTACGTGCACCACACACACACGCGGATCAACTCGGCCCACTCATGATCATCTTTACCACTGCAATCGTCACCTACTCAATGTTCATCATTATCACCACCACACCTCTAAATATTACCATTACCGCAAAGATCGGTAGCATCACAGTCGTGGTTATCCCCAGAGGAACATTTTTCCTGCAGCCGTGCACAACATTTCCTATTGCCCCCCCCCGCGCACCCACCCCCGGACGATATCGGCAAAAATTTGGCCAATTTATCTCTTGACATCCTTCAAAAAAGCCGCAGCATGTTGTTGCCACTTCATGTCTGCCACTTTCGCAACATGGTAATCTTGGCCGTTGTTTTTTCAATGTAATTGTATTTTTTTCCAATAAGACGATATTTAAACATCAAAAATTGCCCTGCGGAGACTGAACACCACCATAGGAATGTGGAGTGCTCACCATTGGTGGGGGTGGAATTTGAGAAACTTTCCCCACAATGTCAAGTCCAGTGTGACAACCGCCACACCACGGCTTCAAAACATAGACGCGACATGTGTGGGAGTCTGTTGTCTGTGCGGGTGGGGAGCGGTAGTGGAGCGGTTAGGGCGCTGTGCTACGAACCCGGCGATGCAAGTTCGATTCCTGCTCACGGCCAACATCGGTGACGAATATCTGAACCAGTCCTGGGCCTCCCCTCGGTGGACTCGGCCTCAAATTAGGACTTGGTGTGGTGTGTAAACATTGGCACTAGGGAGACACAGACGACCGGGCGTGGTGCTGGCCACCCACCGCCTCGTGTGTCGTGCCGCCCTTGAACGGTGCTACTCGCTAACAGCGCTTGCCCCAACAGTCTGTTCAGGCTAAACAGGGGATCTTTGTCTTTTTTCTTGTCCGCCACAGCAAGCACGATCAAGAAAGCAAGCGCCACAGGCCCCAGAAGGAGACCCGCTGAGGGTACGTTCTTACGGTGCCCACGAGGAAGTGAGCACTTCCTCCCGCACGGCACACACACACACGTCGACACCCCCATCGGAGCCGAAGCAGAAAATGAAGCGGCATTGTGCATCCCCGCGGGCCGATGTATCAAGACGCCGTGGCTCCGTTTGTATAAAACCCAGCGCCGGCGACGCTCCTACCGGGCCGCGTCAGAGGCGCTCGGCCACCACTGCGGTGATCGTGGCTTCTGATCCAAGGCGATTTCTTAAACGAGGTTCTCCATCTTCTTGGTTCTCGAACAGGAATGGAGTGGGCAGCCAAGGGATGGAACACGTTTAAGAGAGAACGTCCAGGTTCTCCAATCGCGTCACGCAAGGTTGAGGCAATGGGTGGGTCGCGTTTGTCGGCTGGAGGGAGCAGGGTAGGTCACCGAGATGGGCATTGCAGTGGCACTCACCCAGAGGTCTGCGACCAATGAAAGACCTGGTGCCAGACCGTGGTGGTGGTGGTGGTGGTGGTGGTGATGAGGAATATCAGAGTGGCCTTTAGAAGTCAGGTCATGATTTTTAAATAGTTGTGAGATCCTTACAAAATAAAGTCCGTGAGCCCTGACCAGATATCTCACTTGTGTCGGTACGCACCTGCGGTGGCATCGAGTCGAGCTGTTCCAATTTCTTAAGTGGCCAATAGCATAAGGGAAAAATAACAATGGATTTCACACCTGATGACGATTGTTTGTGTTGCAGTCGAAACGTCGTGATAATTTTATTGTTTTATATTTTTGTTATTTTATTATTTCCCTTCTACGTGACTTTACCAAAAAAATCAAGAATATGAATCCCTGCAGTCACGAAAGCTTTAAATCAAAATTTGGCCAATAGCAGTGAATCATGTGATATCCACTTGAAATGAGTGGGCTCTCTTTCGTATCGCTGACATAGAAGCAGAACAACAACGACAATGTCGTGCCAGGAGCAGCGGAGTGTGTCGCTGTGATGTCTCCTTCGTGTGTGTGGATCGGGAACTGCGTCGTCATGTGTTGTACGGTCTGGTCTGGATGCCCACAGTCGCACGCTGGACAGTTTTTGTTATTTAAATTAGTGCATCGTGTTATCCGCATCTGCCATGGTTTGTGTGGAGGAGATTTAGAGTGGACCCATGAGCTTCGTAGAAGATCAAACCCAACGATCTGAGTGGGTTATTGCATGTTATTACATATGAATAAATCGCGTTTTGCTACCTTTGGTGGTAACGATGTCTGCTTTGGTCCTAGAGCCAAAGCAGGCACCGTCAACAGTATGGGCCACGATGACTTTAAAAAAATAAAATACGACAAAAGCCAAATTCACTATTTTGTGATGGCAACAGAGCGTGCAAGCAAAACGTGTCGCAAAGTTTCCACTGCGCCACAGTCTGCCTGCACGCGACAGGATTGTTTTTTTTTTATCGCGAAATGTAAGATTGTATGCACGTGCAGACGTTTCTGGTTGGCGATGGTGGTGGGTGTGGAAATTACCGGAACAAAACCGCCGATTTCTGTTCATTTCCAAATTGTGACCGCTGCAGAGTTTTAATTCCATATTCCTGGCCACAAAGCCAGCGCTGGTATCTAGATGAATTTCTATTCATCGTCACCGTCATCATCCATTTCAACTGTGGTCATGCTCTTCTACATCTAGGTTTGAATCTGGACTCAGATTCAATGAGACTTTTGTGTAAAGTATTTTCAGTTATTAATGCAGCTTACGAGAAGTGTACCCACGTGGGGATGAGCAGTTCAATTGAGCACCAGGATAGATACACACGAATGGTCCCACAATCATGAATGATAATATCACCGCAATCATAATCCTTGCCAATGTTATCAAACATTCGACAGTGTTTTCTGAGAATTGTATTGGGGGGGGGAAAAAGCAACGGAATTAATATTGACGGGCGAAAAACATTGATCATCTTCGAGTTGCGAACGACGGTCATGATCACATCCAATAGGAAGGAACTGCCGTGTATTGTGATATGGGCTGTGACAGAGAAGGCTGCAAAGTTCGTCTCAGGATAAATGCCAGCAAAAAACTAAAGGTCGCTTGCAACAAGTTCGTTACGCAATCTAAAACTAAACTTTTATTTTATTTTACCAGATAAGGCCCACTGAGCTATCTATATTCGCTCTTTTTCAGAAGCGACCAGGCCACAAATGACAGTTCAGCGAAGTGGCTCATCATGTGGAAATTCATAGCAGCCAAACACTCTAAACGCACCTTTTTTAATTGTGGAAGGGAAATACGGGAGGACCCGGAGAAATATCCACGCATCTGCCAGAGGGAGAATGACTCGGAAAACCCAGCGGAGCGCGTGTGTGTATGTAGAACCTCTTTCACACTATACGTAGCCAATCGTGCTAATGGTAGGGCGGTTTCTGAAGCTGTAATATGATCAAGAACATTTGAAAAGGAGGGGGAAGAAGAGTAGGTCGTCATGCTTTCGGAAAGCTGAAAGTGAAAAGTAAACTTGTGGAGAAGCGTTCAATCAGTGCGTACCACCCGCTAGAGGAGGGATGATGAACGGTGGCCTCGAACAGCAACGGAGTGGGCAGCCAAGGGATGGAACACGTTTAAGAGAGAACGTCCATCGAGGAGATGGAGTGATGAAATGAGTTAATGTGTAGTAGGTGCTGGGTGGATTGTCGTGTCGTAAGATCGTGAGAGTCTGAAGTGGCTTCAGGGGGAGGTCTTCATTCCGCAGGGCCGATGGTCGTAACGCATCCTTAGGGAGACAAGAATAACAAGTGAATACATAATTAAAGGTGGTGTCACAGTTGTTTTGTAACGTTATTTTGGGTCACTTCCGCACGTGGTTATTTCCATCCGAGGAAATATTGTCGCGCAAATAATGCCAGCTGGCCCAATGGTCACCGAGCGCTTGCTCCGCTGGAATTATTTTTCCGCCTCAGAAAGTTCACGGGGCGGAGTGACGAACGATGGCAATCAGCTGGCGTGCAGCGCCAGACGGCTCGTCGCACGCCGTGGCTGATCTGATGATGGGCCCTCTGCCACCAGAGGTTTCTGGTTGACCCGCGCATACTTGACAGATCCACCCATACTGGACATCTGTGAAAAAGAGCTTCATAGCTCATCGGATTCCTCATAGTCTCAATAAAGATTCTGATGCTGGTTCGAGGGAGACCTGGGTTTCTGTGAGGACGGCAAAAGGACAGATTGAGAAAAAAATTGGAATGGTGTTTCAAATCGGCAAGCATTTGGCGGTGTTGAGTTAAGCTCCGTGAACTCATTGTGAAATGCGGATAATTTAACTTCACAAATATGTGCCCGCGCATGCGCAACGCAATTGCGTCTCTGCCACACTTAGCATCTGTTCCATCTCGTTTGGAGTTCTGTATTCTCTTAATAATCACTTATTGTGGACATTATGAGTGAAAATCATATAGCACCCTCTCAGATCCTTGGGTTTGAACTACGGAAATTTAGCATACATTGTATGCTACATACGATGTAGCATACATTGTATGCTACACTGCCGTACTTAATATTTACGTACATTTTAATTCATCATTCATTCAGAGCCCTTTGTCAAAGGATTGCTTGACGGCGAGTATACTCTGGTTAGTGCACGGCATTCTAAACCTGGTGCCCTAATCAATTGGTATATTAGCCCACGTGACAAGCTGACTGGATTGTAATACGGTAGGTACTTGGTGAGGCTTTACTGGGTAAACGAGCGTAATTACGAACGTAATAATCATCATTAACTGGAGAGGAACTCAATGGGTCGGTGGGTAAGTGGCTGAGTGGATGAGAATGATTTAATTCGAACTCAGGGTTCCAGCAGCAGTGCTGGCTCCATGCCCCCTCCCCCCCCCCGTGGGCATCCGTTGCCTTTCCTTCTTGGCTGCCCCCCCCCCGCCAGCACCGGTACAGATCTTGCCTCTCTCTCTCTCTCACATCGAGCCAAACGCGCGGAATGACTCAGTGGCCAACGCCTCACTCGATTTCCCAGAAAGCCATGCTTTCCTTCTCTCCCAGTCACGATTGCATCGCGTGCACGCTTGTGCACGCCAACTGCGCAAATCTCGGCCGCAAGGTGGCCAGGGTTAATCGCCACCGAGATAAATCGTTTCAGGGTCCGCCGTGTTGAAAACAAAACGCGTTGAGAACGTGGAAGATTATTTACATTATGAGACCTCCTTTGCCAGTAGCAATATATAGTAATAGGTTTTTACCCTTTTAACTGGCAACAAATATATAGGTGTCAGTTTTGTTGCCAGTTAAAAGGGTAAAAATCTATTACTAACGTGTAAGAATCACAAATCCCCCCCCCTCCTCCCCTCTCCCAAACTCGAGGGCAGCATTCACGAGGCCCAATCTCAGCTGTAAGTTCAGATGCGAGGAAGAAGACTGCACACAAACATGGGGTCCATTCCTAATCTTAGACCAGTCTTAAATATCTTATTGGTTCTTTCGGTAAAGTCACGTAGAAGGGAAATAATATAATAACAAAAATAAAGCCTAATAACATTGTATTTGATTATGTTTTATTTTTATTAATTTACGTGAGAATTGTATTTGATCATGTTTTATTTATTTTATTATTTCCCTTCTACGTGACTTTACCGAAAGAACCAAGAAGATGAATCCCTGCAGTCACGAAAGCTTTAAATCGAAACTTCGACCAGTCCTAAATACCTGACCTCAGGAGGGAAATAACCTGGCGCACCCCCCCACCCCCCAAATGTCTTCCTCCCCTCCCCCCGGCCTGCTCTGATGAGTCCAGGGAGCCTGCTGATACCTCCAATGCCCCCTGCTACGACTGGCCCGGAACGTCAGGATGTTGCAATGTACCATGTGAGGAAGGATGTGGAGGCGAAATATATTTTATATTTATTAAATATAGATTTTTTTTATTCCACCGTAAACGTGGCGGCACAAGCGCGTGATGGATGCGCCTTGCGAGCCAGCGTGCGCGTCTCACGTACACGCATGTGTGCGTTGAACTTCTTTAGCGCCGCACGGAGCCGGACGGTGCTTACCGGAGGTGCGCCGGAAGCGAGGGCCGGTGATGGCTCTTGTAAACATGCAAAACCTTTAAATGCTCATTCGATTACGGTCTTCGTGCGTTTTTCCACGTTTATTTTGTTCCACGTTGAGGGAAACGCAGACGACATTGCCGAACCACGTGACACTCATTCCTCCTGTGTTTTTGTAGAAAGGTGGCTGGGTCTGGTGCTTTACCCCCCCCCACCACCCCTTGTGTACTGTGCTGGCCTTCATAGGTGCTCGCAAGCAATTATTGCCCCAACAGTCTGTTACGGCTATACGGGGCTTCTTTGTCTAGTATATTAATGTGGGGAGGTAGTGTGGTGGTAGCCTGCTATACAGGAGGTCGTGGATTTGATCACGACCCTGACGCCTGTATATTTGGAGTTTGCGTGTTTCTCTCCCCCGTGGCCGTGTGGATTTTTTTCTCTGTCCTCCGGTTCCGCCCCCCCCCCCCGCCGCCCCCGACATTCAGAATCAACGGGCGTTTCAAGTATTTGGCAGATTTAAATTGTCCACGCGATAAGCCATTTTGTTGAGCTATTATTTGTGGCCAGGTGGCTTCTGAAAAAAGAGCCACAGCGCTCAGCAGGGACTTACCTGGTAAAATAAAAAAAAAGTGTTTAATCATTGTTCCACGCGTGTCGTTCCCCGTGCCGATGCAGCAAGAAGACACTCGATGTTAGCGGCCAACGCGCAAGAGACGGAACCCGCCGAGCGCGTGACCGGGATCGTGGCGGCTCGCGGCCCGCTTCGGTGCTCAGGCCGCAGCGGCGTGAACGCGCTCACCCGAAGACTCGGCCTCTACCCCGCCACCCCTGAGCCCCCCGCCGGCGACCAAGCGACAGAGACAGGCGGACGAACGCGAAACGACGCGCCCGGAGACGCGTCGCCTGGAGACCTCCGAGAAGGGGCCGCCGGAGAAAGAAAAAAAAAACGGCCCCGTCGTCGGTAACCTCGTGGCGCGGCTCGGACCGACTCGCACGACGAGAGACCCGGGGGGCGGTCGTCGATGCAGCGTCCGCAAACTTCGAAGCGGCGGCCGCGGAGAAGCGGAGCGCTGGAGGAAGGGGACAAAGATGCCCGCCGTGTAGCCTGAACAGACTGTGGGGGCGAGTGCTGTTAGCGAGCACCTACGAAGGCCGGCACGGCACACCAGGGGATGGGTGGCCAACGCCCCGCCCGGCCGCCTTCACCTCCCCGGTGGCGATGTTTACACACCGCACCAGGTACTAATTTGAGGCCGAGTCGACCTAGGAGAGGCCCACGACCGGTTGAGATAATCGTCACCGGCGTTGGTGGCCGTGAGCGCGAGACGAACTCGGGGTTGCCGGGTTCGTAGCGCAGTGGCCGCTAACCACTGCTGCCACCGCTCCTGTCACGTCGCGTGAGCACGTCGCCTCGTCACGCGTTCCCCCCCCCTCTCCCTCACCTCCCACCCCCCCCCCCCCCCCCCGATGCGCAAGACCCCCTAAACCGCTGTTGCATTCGGGACGGAGCTCCCGGTACTCGACAACGGTTCGGCGTTTTATAGCCGCCCACCTGCCTGTTTCATGATCGACGAGTCAACGCTCTCACTGATTCACTCCTTCCTTGTCTCTCTGTTCTACATCCGCTATCACGGTTGCCGCTCTCAGGAATGCTGTAGTTTGATTCTGCCTCCCGACTTACAGACTGTGGACTTCACGCCCGGCCGGCCATTCTCACTGGCTCGCTGCGGGGGTGAAGCATTTGCACTTCCCCTTGCTCTGCCTTTGCAGAGGTCGCCACTGCAACTCTCCCTTCCTCGTTCTACGTTTCCAACTTCACACATCCCGACTCATTTCAAGACGCTTGCAAACTTCTCACCTTGCACGTTGAACTTATTTCGCGCCGTACGTAGCCAACCGCGCTAATCGGAGGTGCGGAGAAAGGACAACATTCTAAACACAAAAAACTGTTCTAAAGGAATGAGTTTTCAATCTAGATTTAAAAGTGTACAGCTCCAGTGGTTCCTAATTATCAGAAGGAAGAGCGTTCCAGACGGCCGCAGAAACGCATCTGAAAGCGCGCAATGCGGTGACCGTTCTGCCCTCTAACCCTTCAATCTACCTCGAACCTCTTTCCTTATTACCCTCTCAAGTGTAACAACTCACCCCGATCATTGACACTTGACCATGAGCACCGCCCGTGACTGTTACCGATGACCTGACCACCGCGAATGCGCCCCGATCTTGTCGAATTTTGAAAGCTAAGCAGGTAAAATTTTTACTTGAGCCTGTTAAGTATTTGGATAGGTGAACGGGTTACTGCCAGGTGTTGTGGACGTGGGGGGCTGAGAGTGGTGGCCAGGAGATGGCCACCCATCCCAGCCAATGCCATCTTCTGGGTGGCCAGGAGATGGGAGTGTGTGGTGGGTTTTCTCCGGGTTCTCCGACTTTTCCTCCCACACAAAGCCAGGACCCTTCTGAAAAAAAGAATAGTCGTCAGACTCGTTGAGTCCTTCCTGGTTTAATCATTGGCATCATTATTATCGCTGCACTTCATGCCGAATCTGACATGCATCCCCCTTAATTAAATTCCTCACCCTATTCCCTTCTTCCAAGCATAACCCTAACCCCAATGCCTCATCCATATTAACCCCCTTCCTTAAGCCTAATTATAATTAACCCCTATGCTAAACCCATTACCAGAATAAAGTTGCTCTATAAATGTAAAATTAGATTAGACCCCCGAACGCACCTGCGATGAGAATAGACCCCAAACGCACCTCAGATTAGCACGGTTGGCTACGTACGGTGCGAAAGAAGTTCAACGGACATCAACCTTAGCGATTCAATATTTTTTCTTGGGTCAGATCGCCACGTGAGCACAATGCCAACGTGTGTGTGTCATAACACCCTTCACCATCTGACGCCAGTGTTTTACTGTTTCAGCTGACCGGCACGCTACATCGAAATCCAGCACGTGTAACAAGTTGTTACGATGTCTCATTGGCAATTACAGCCAACATCATTAGCAGCATCCAGCAACTACCCCTGGTTGTAACCACCAGCGAAACGTCGTACCAGATTGTTAAATGCGTGTGTGGATCGCTCTCCAGCGCAACCGGTGTGCTTAAGCAATCATCAATCGGCGCGTTTTATTTTTTGACCACGTGACGACTACTTATTTGGTGGAGAGGGGTGTACGACGCACGCCAGCGTTGTTATCACCAAAACATCAATCACGAATCGTGCCATTGGTCGCCACAGCACCACGTGTTAAATGTGTCAACCTGAACACGTGGCTCGAATTCAAACCTCATTCGTAATTCCTCGAACCTAACGTCGGTGCAGTCCATTTAACCAGGCCCCTAAGCCCCCCGATAGCCCCTGTGACCCCGTCGTTACGGGAGTGCGCCTGAAATCTCCACGCGGCATTGCTATCGCGTCACGGCACTCCTGGCGAGGTGGCGCAATGGCAGATGCCGACCATGCAGCGACTTGTAAATGGGGATTGGTGGATCACAAGGGGATGACACCCCCCCTCCCCCCCCCCCCCCCCCCCGCCGCTGATGACAATGACAGCCAAACTGTGGTGGCAGCAAAGTGATGCCGCTATTGGAGGATGGAGCAGCAAGCGAACACTACTGAGTAGTCTTCGCTTGTTTGTACGTGTGCGCTGTGTCCCCCCCCCCGTCCCCCCCCCGGCACTCCGGTTTTACTCTCGAATAACGAACGTGGAGAGGAGCTGGTAGAATACCTCAAGCGGGACCCTCCTCAAAAAAACGGGGGGGGGGGGGAGGGGGTCTTCAGATTTGTGTGGGTCGAGTGTTTCGAGTCCAGCTGCTTGGCACGGCGGCTCGCGATCGAAAGCGGCTCGTGATCCCCCGCGGTTGATTCGGGTCAATCCACGATTATTTCGGGGGGGGGGGGGGTCAATTAAAATGGGCACCGCCTCGTGCGATGACAACAAAGGGTTCGTCCTCTGGGGTCAAACTGGTCCCTTGCCACGGGTTCGTGGCATTTCCTCGGGACTGCCAAAAGCGATGAGCACCACGCGACGTTCGTTTGAGTTGCGGCGCGCACTTTGAATGACTTTGGTTATTGATTAGCAGCGGGGTTCAATTGACTTCATTCGGGCTCTTTTCTGTTTCTCTGCGTGAGCAAAGCGAAAAATGATCGTAGTTAATTTGTTATTCTGCGGCTTTCATCGAAAGGTCACGGGGCGCTGTGCACGTGTTAATCTCGGCGATAAATCGGCGCAACCCAAGATATTTGAGAAGTAAAAAAAACCCTGCTATAGCAGACGATACCATTGGTGGAAAACATTTGCACCATAGGTCTCGTGCTCCAAGCAACTCAAACGTATATTTAAAAAGATGCGTTGTGCGTTGTCGTGGAGTGTTCATCATCATCAGCCTTGATCCATCCACTGCTAGATTGAAGGTCGACCAAGGCCACCGCCGTCTCTCGCGGTCTCGTAATACAACAATCCACCGAGCGCGTGCAAAACGAACGCAACATTTATGAAGCGCGCAGGAGGTACAAAGATTAACGCACGCAAAGGACAGCCTGCAGTTAGAAATCCTGCACGGCGCTCTATGGGGCTCGCAAAGTCGGTGGGAACGATGCGTCAGAATGTTCTCTTCGTGCAAATTACGAGCGGCAAAAAGAGCGGTGGCCTGAGCAAGCAACTTGCGGGGCTGCGCCTTAAGCCTTGGCAGGAGAAAATCGCCAAAATCTGGGCAATTAGCAGAAACATTTTTTTCTCTCTCACCAAATATCAGCACGGCCACATTTTCTCCAACGCTGTAATCGGTTTTTTAACGAGCGTCGCGGAACAAGGCTTATCGCCATCGGCTGCCCTGGGCCGGCGGTGGGCATTCCACGTTGCTCTGGTTGGAGCAGTCTCCCCCTCGGCTCGTGGTGACTTGCCGCTGCTGTGTGGTGCTTTCCTCTCCGTCCGAAGGCAGGGATCGAGCGGGGCATTTTCGTTTGACGAGGTTGGTGGCTCGTGCAAACGGAGCCGGCATAATCACGCGCCCACATATTGGGCCACAAAGAGGTGCCTACGGGGGGCAGTACAGCAACTAGGGTGTTGACCTTACCCATGCGAAGTGCTTGCTGTGAAAGCCAGTGGCGTGGTTGGCAAAAAATTGATATGCGGGGCCCGTTGTCAAATGCCCCCCCCCCCCACCTCCTGGTATCTTTGGTGCCTGGGCCCCACCGACACATCTGTCCTGGCGCAGTCGCAGAGACAGCTCCTCCACCAACGTCATCAGTAGATCTGGCTCGCGGCTCAGGCTCGAAAAAAAGTCACGTTTTCAATCAGGAAAACCTTCCAAAGGTCCCGCCCAACTCAAACTCCCGAAATAGAACCTTGAGACCCGGCATGGTTTGTCAAGGACGAAGGGTTTAAAAACGACGGCTATTGGAACGAACAAGTGTTAATTATATTCTTGGTTTTTACGGTAAAGTCTACGTGACTTTACCGAAAGAACCAAGAATATGAATCCCTGCAGTCACGACAGCTTTAAATCAAGTGCTAATTGTTACTTGTTAATGTTTCGTGACGATCGCGACCACGCACGCGCGCGCATTGCGATCGCGCGTACAAACGTTCGTCCCGTGAAACCATAACAAAAGAGCCTCCCCCCCTCCCCGTTTCACCGAAAACGAGACACGGGCGTCATGGAACGTTGTGCCAACGTTCGTCCAACGTTCGTCCGACGGTTCCAACCGCGTACCCACGTTGGCCCAACAGCTGCCATCAAGGCGCCCTTGCCCACGGATCAACGACTTGCACGCTCGTGTTTGCGCGCGTGGGAGCAATATAAGTTCAAACATTGATACGGTTATTGTAATAATTGCTAAATAAATCAAATGTGAGTCGTTGCCAAAGCTACCCCCGGGGTGTGGCGGTCACTCGCGTTGTCGAGATCGCCGAGATGTGAAACGAAACCGGGGCGGGTAACGCTAAAAGTGATATTTCACGAGGCCAGAAGTTGGGACAACTCCATTATATTTCCCCACCCCCGGTTATCGCGGGTGTCTACGTACGGTGCGAAAGAAGTTCAACACGCATACATACCAGATCCCCTTTTTACTGACAGACTATGGCCCCATGTGAG